GGACCCTGAACGTCCGGCAATGCCGCGATTTTTTCTTCTAGGTACATTTGGCGACCATAAGTTCCCGTTAAGTCCGTGCCTGACTGTTTCTAAAGTACCCTTCGGAAAAAACCGTGTTTATGATCGGAAAGTGACCGTTGAGGACGAAGCGAAAATTAACTCTAAATTTATGGCAAGACATGTAGTAAAATTAATAACTAGAAAAAACCCGAAATATTCTAACTTAAAAACGGCTGCCTAACGGACCGATCATAAATAAACTTTCGAAATCCTCACCCAGATGTATCGTCGTACGGAACACACCATAAAGTAAAATTTTTGCAACCATTTGTCGTTCTCTAATTCAGGGTGATTAATGCCTTTTTCATTTAGGAATGTATTTATTTCATTCAAGCACAAAGCAAAAGATTTCAACACCTTACCTTTGGAAAGCTATCGCACTTTATTGTGAAGAAGGAGGTCGGAATACTGAGTCTCCATTTCGTTTAAGAATTCTTTAAACTGACGATGGTAGAGGTAGGTCTTTTGACTGTTAACGACGAAGATGCTGTTAACAATCCTGATTACCAAATTCATGACCTCAACTATTTCGGCCGGAAATGTTTAGGCACAAAGCGCTTCTTTGATTTTTTTCAAGATTTCTGGTTTGTTTTTGAAATCACGAAACAATTCTTCAGATGTACGTATGAAGCAATCTTTGACATACTTACCATCTGTGAATGGTTTGCCTTTTTTTGCAATTTCTAGTGATACCGCGAAGCTTACCAGATTAACATTATTTGTAGATTGCGTCCAGTTACTTAACATGGAACTTGATTGCGGTTTTTGTTTTTGGAGCTCGTCGACAGCTGTTTTTCGTTCTTCGCCGACTGGATATTTACTAGCAAACTGAGTATGTTTTTTAGTGAAGTGTCTCTCTAAATTTGATTTTTTATTGTGTGCGAGTTTTTCGTGACAAATGAGACAAATCGGAAGATCATCTGAGTTTGTTGGGTAATGGGCTGGGTTTTATTCTATGTAGGTTTTTTTTTGACTCGGGAATGGAGGACGGGAATTAACTGTTAACACTTTTTTTACACAGGAAACAGTCACAGTCACTTTATTTACGATTCGACAATTGAATTTTGAATGACGAGTACAAAAGGTCACACCTCGACCGTTAAACGAAAGTTCGATGGAACGCACGGAGATCTTGCCCTTAATCGGGTCGCTGCGCGCGAACGCGTCGGAAATCTTGGGCGGACTCTGCGTTAGCTCTGAAGTGGTTGCGTGGTTCGAATACACGGATTAATTAACTTAAACTATTTTATTAAAATAAACATTTAACTATTTACAAACTAAACTAAGTACTAGAGACTATAAACTATTGCACAATAAAATTGGACTTTGTACAAGCCCGCGTTGACAAGGCGATTCCTTAATAATTCAAAAACGAAGCTTCAAACCCCATTTTCGCAAAGGAAAATCTTGTTCAGAATGACGTCCTCTACCACCCCTTTCAGGGAGTAACACTAGTTACGGGACACCCTGTATAGTCAATTGTCTTTTTCGAAATTTCTTGCTCGCGAACGTTCCAGCGCGCGGGCTCGCGAAGGTTCTTCCACGCTCGCGCCGTATAGCGAGCGTTCGCGCGCTTCGAGAATTTTCGGCGGCGGTCCGCCACAGCTCCGAACGCGACGGAAATCTTAACGCGACGATATTACTGGAATTTCGCAGCGATCAAGGTCCGACTGCGGAAGCACGAGATACCGGTCGAAATAAAGGCTGAGAGTCTCGCCACGTGTTATGGCGACGACAACGGTGATTTACACGAATTAACGGCACAACACGGAAAATATCGCGGGCACGACGTTCCGTTAATTTTATCGATATTCGGTGTCTCTAAATAATGGTAATAGCTCGGTGGATTATCACAATTTCGCGGAATTCGAATTGGAAAGTAACTCGGGTGCGTGTGACTTCTCCTCCGGAACAAGAAGAACGACGGGACGATCTATCGGCCTCGATCAGCGAAAACGGGGATGCGCGACCCTAATCGATATAGAGCGCAGGTACGCAGGAGAACAAGGACCGCGAATAGTAACTACAATTACGCATGAAAAGGATCGGTAATGCGCGATGCCTCGTTCGCGAGGAGATTTGTGATTCGCGAATTCTTCTCGATATGGCCGTTAGCGCGATATTTAACCCTTTCGCTACGGCAGGCCCGTCCGCCGAAGTACCGTCACGGAACAAAACGCTCATACCCAAAAGTCGTGGCGCGAATGCCGTGTATATGCGGCGCTCGTACCCACGGAGACTCTCAGCTATACGCGGACATTGCGGAACAGAGTTGAATATGAAAACGAGCGACTCCGTTCAATTCCGATTGAATTCTCGATGCTCTTCTTCAGTCCTTCTCTTTTTTTTTGTAGATGCCATGCTTGCGGTGAAGCTGTAATAAAGAATTTTTAAAATTATTATTTAGGTATTCAAAACAGCAGATGACAAGTTTTGCAATTATTTACTATGTCAACGTATACCTAAGTAAATACATACGAGAAGCTGGACATAATGAAATATAATTTATCAAAAAACATTTTACAACGATATTTCCCAATTAAAAATACTTACCTAAATAAAATAAATAATTCTCTAATAATTTAATTATTAAAATAAATAATTTAGACACTAAACACTGTTTGTCTCACTCTCTCACGTAGTGATCGACTATAAGTATGTATATAGTTTCGTCGCATCTGTGATCGCCTCCCGTGTGCAGTGATCGCCGACTGGCACGAACGGACTTGTTAGAACGTGTTTATCACGGCGCAGTCTACACATTTTAGTTTTTTTTTTTAATGAATGGCAATGAAAATTGCCAAACATATAAACAATCTAAAACTGCAAATACCTACCTACTTTGATCCTCAGAGTTCGAAAATAGGGTTATTAAATAATAATTTATAGGTACTTACACTTATAATTATAGCGTGAAAGATGTTTGAATGTGAGAAGAATTGCGCGCGAATAAATGAGAGCGAATGACAACGAGCAATAGGTAAGGTACTGTCCAGAGCACGAGAGAAAAGTAGCGGGACGGGAACGGGGCAAAGAGGGTAGGCCGCTAAGGCCGCTAGGACCACCTA